AAGGCTGAGGCGGAAGGATCACTGGAGCCCAGCAGGTCGAGGCTGCGGTGACTGGGAGCGTGACACTGCCCTCCAGCCTGGGTGACAGAGTGAGACTCCAACTCAAAAAAATAGAGACAAGGTCTCGCCAAGTTGCCCGGGCTGTTCTCGAACCTGCGGGCTCAAGCAACCCACTCGCCTCATCCTCCGAAAGTGCTGGGATTACAAGCTGAGTCACTGAGCCCGGCCGCTTGTTGGTCATTTCTACAGTGTATCTTCTTTGGAGAAACGTCTATTGAAGTCTTTTGACCATTTCGGGTTTTGTTGTTGTTGTTGAGTTGTAGTTCTTTATATATTCTAGCTATTAACCCCGTTATCAGATATATGATTTGCCAATATTTCCTCTCATTCTGTGGGTTGCCTTTTTCACTTTGTTGATTGTGTGTCCTTTGAAGCACAGAAAACACTGCCTTTTCCCCCACTGAATGGTCATAGTACCCTTGTCAAAAATCATTTGACCGTATATGCACAGGTTTTGTGCCATAAACGTTTGTGGGTGGTAGTACATAAATGCCATGAGCTCTGTCTTAAGAAAGCCACAGTCGAGTTAAACACTCAAATTCCGTTTCAAACAACATTTGTCCCATGTGCTCAGGGGCACTGGGCCCATGTTTCTCCACGCTTTGCTTCTTAAGCTTCCTATCCAATCAGTGCAACACCTCGTTTAACAGAGGGGCAAACATAGTCCCTGGAAGAGCACGGTTATGGCTTCCCCAGGGGCATGGACAGTCAGAATTTGAATTCAGAGTCATGCTATCTCAAGTAAAATGTTCTCATCTCTAAAATGTGGGCAGAAGTGAGATGAAGCGGTCTCTATTGAGCGGCCTTGCAGCTCTAGGATCCTGTGAGTTAAGGAGTCACTGAAATCCTGGGGTATGCGTGAGGAGTAGATATTCAGCATTATAGGAGTGCACAGAGAAGCGGAGCCCTAAAACCACTTCCAGCCCTTCAGGACAGAGTTCCAGAGCGGGAACCCTGCCCCCCCGACAGCGAACCTCAAGTCCTTACCCGGAACCTGGGCGTGGCTGGGCTGTGCTATCGGCGCGGGTGGGGGAGGAGCAACAGAGCAACAGAAAAATGCCGGCCACGAGATTCTCGTTGAAGTTCTCCCCGTCTCTCTGGAGGGAGAATTCGGAATTCTACAACCCCTCTAGCATTAACTCCCTTGCCTCCTTCCTGTCCTCACCTCTCACGGAGTTATTACTTCCTCTTTGCCCCTTAACTGATTTGCCTTTTGGTACACCCCCACCCAGACTTGGAAAGGCAAGGCGGGCGCCCGCGTGGCCACTGCGCATGCGCACTCCGGCGGCTGGGGGTGAGGGTGGGTGGGTGGGGGGAGTGGGAAGCGCGGAGCACCGACCCCGCCCCTCCGCGGCTCCACGCGTGACGTCGCGGGGGGCGCCGGCCTCAGCCCGGCTCCGAGCGGTGAGAGCGAGCGGCGGGCTGATCCGACGCCTAGACCGGGAAGGGATGAGGGTTTTGAGATCCTTCAGGAGGGGGCTTTGGGCGGGACGGGAGGCTCAGGTGCACCACCGGCCGCTGACCCTCACTCTCTGCCCTCTCCACTCCTTTTTTCTTCCTTCCAGCTGTGCCGGGACTGGAGGCAGGGCTGGGGCTGAGCCTTTTTGACACCTGCGTTTCCGTGGCTCCCCTCTTCTCTTTCAAGCCCATGTTTACCTCCTCGCCTTCCAGGTGTTCTTTTTCATCGGGCTGTCTCTTCTTGCGTGGGGAAGAGCACCACACTTTTGAAAGCAGGAAATGGTTTCAGACCTTGGCCCTACCACTGCTAAGTTAAAAGTCCGCGCGAGCCTTGGTTTCTCCACAATATTTTTGCCTGGCCTTTCCTGGTTTTGAGAATCAGTGTGACACAGGTAACGAGAAAGGACAGACGTTTGTGGAGTTCCTCCATGGCCGAGTACCATGCAGACTACTTTATCTGCCACGTTTAATCCTCATTACTTGGTGTTTTTAGAACTCCCATTTCACAGATTCTTAAGCTCACAGCGGTGAATTGACTTGGACTCACGTAGCCAGTGAGTAGCAGAGAGAAAGATTCAGACCTACTTCCAAACTGAAGTTTTGCAGACACTTCCCTTGCTCTGGTTAGGGCTGTTCTTCTGCCAAACCCTAGCCCCAGAACAGCTGCTTCCTGTTTCTCCAGCAGATAATTCTCCCTTTCAGGTTCCTTATTTCAGTATAGAGGGCTCTGCTCTTCTTCCACCTTGATTACTTCAGAAATGACATGCAGTAAACATTTATTGAGTGGTGCAGGGAGATGCACTTTTGGATTCAAGAAACTGAGATTCTTGTCCCGTCTCTGCCACTACCTGTGTGACCTTGGGCAAGTCCCTTGTCTTCCCTGAACTTTAGCTTCTCTTTTTGAGAAATGGGTGAGTGCCTTCTCACCAGCAGGCTCTTGTCCACCAGTTTTCCCTCTGTGTCCTCCAGCAGGCTCACCGTGGAGGCCCAGACCCCTTTGCTCCCCATGGGCAGCTGCCAGGCAGGGCACAACCTGCATCTCTGTCTGGCCCACCACCCACCTCTGGTCTGTGCTACTTTGATCCTGCTGCTTCTTGGCCTTTCCGGCCTGGGCCTTGGTGGCTTTCTCCTCACCCACAGAACTGGCCTGCGCAGCCCTGACATCCCTCAGGTAAGTTCCCTCCTGCTTATACTCCCAATGTAAGACCAGCTTTTGCTCCTAGTCTCATCTCACCTCTGTCCCATCCTCCTTTTGTACACAGGACTGGGTCTCCTTTTTGAGATCTTTTGGCCAGCTGACCTTGTGCCCTGTGAATGGGACAGTCACAGGAAAGTGGCAAGGGCCTCGAGTCATGGGCTTACTGACTACCTTGAACTTCGGAGATGGTCCAGACAGGAACAAGACGCAGACATTCCAAGCCATGGTCTCAGGTAGTCAGATGGGACTGAAAGGTGAATTCAGGGAGGACTGTGGGGTTGGGCATCAGAACACTCAGGGCCCTGCCTCTGATCTGACCAACCCAGTGACCTTGGGCACATCTCTGAGCCTTAGTCACTTATGCTGTAATTAGGACTAGCTACTTTCAGTGAACATGCTGCCCATAGCGTAGATTCTCTATAAATGCTCTCTTTTTCCTCCTTTTTTTTTTTTGAGTTGGAGTCTCACTCTGTCGCCCAGACTGGAGTGCAGTGGCCGCTCCCGGCCACCGCAGCCTCGATCTGCTGGGCTCCGGCGATCCTTCCGCCTCAGCCTTCCAAGTAGCTGGAATTACAGGCGCGCGCTACCACGCCGGCTGATTTTTTTATTTATTGTAGAGATGAGGTCTGCCTGCCCAGGCGGGTTTCGAATCCACGGGCTCAGGCAATCCACTCACCTCAGCCTCCCAAAGGCACGGGATTATAGGCTGAGCCACCGAACCCAGCTCTTTTTCCTCTTTTAGTTCTAAGGTTCTTTGAGTCTGTCCTTAAGTGTGATGAGATGGCCAAAGTTTGACCCAATGTTCTTTCTCATCCCTATAGCTGCCTCCTCTTAGAGACACCTTCTTTGTTTTTGTTTTGTTTTGTTTTTTTGAGTTGGAGTCTCACTCTGTTGCCCACACTGGAGCGCAGTGGCTGCTCCCGGCCACCGCAACCTTGACCTGCTGGGCTCCGGCAATTCTTCCGCCTCAGCCTTCCAAGTAGCTGGAACTACAGGC